CCTATACTATAGAGTATCCTCTTTGGTGAAGAGGACAGTGTCCTGATGAGCTACCAGTGCCATCAGGTGCAGCAGCAAAGAATATCAAGGACTATTTCCAACAAACTTTTGCAACTGCTTGGCAGTTCTTAATCACAATTTTCTTTCAATTTCATGGAAGTGTGAAAGTAAAAATAAAGCCATGATCTACTTAGCTCTGAAAACTCTTGTTACAGTCTCTGGCCTTACGAATAGTGCCGTGATATGTGAAGTAAAACGCCTGTTTTCCCACAATAACAGCAGTGAAAGAGAAATGTGCTGAATAACCCCATATATAACCGTAAGAATTCGATGTATGGGTCATTTTCTGTGCTTGAACTCCGAGGAAGAGGAGACAAGGTTAGCAAAACACACTTCAAACCTTCTCCCTGTGTTAACTGGTTTGTGTTGGAGGCTCCGAAGCACCAGCCCGCCCTCCCAGCCTGCCCCCAGGAGCAGCAGCTCAACAGCTCAGAGATAACGTAGGCGATAACTCAAGTGGGTGATAGCTACAAGTGCCTGCAAGTTATTAAGAAGAATAACACACAAAGTCGAGCCCAGCCGTCCCTAAAGCAAAGGGCTGACAGCTCAGGCGGGTGGAGAGCCCAGACCCATGAAGGGTGTAATGAGGCAACACAGCTTTCTGGGCAGAGATTACAAGCCTGGGAAGGTGCAAGTCAGGGCTGCAAATCTACGTTTTCCAGTAAATCTGGAGGCAGCTATCAACCAGCGAGAATTTGTCTGCCCACTTTGGTCCCTCAAGAGCTTTCAGGCTGAGGTTTGCTAAGATTTAACCCTCTGCAGTGCACCAGAATCATAGAATCATAGAATCGTCTAGGTTGGAAGAGACCCTTGGGATCATTGAGTCCAACCATCTACCCAACTCTACAAAGTTCTCCCCTACACCATATCCCTCAGTACCCCTTATTAAGGTCCCTTAAACACATCCAGGGATGGTGACTCAACCACCTCCCTGGGCAGCCTGTTCCAATGCCCGACCACTCTTTCTGTGAAAAATTCCTTCCTGATGTTCAGTCTAAACCTACCCTGTTGGAGCTTGAAGCCATTCCCTCTGTCCCTCAGAACAACCTCAGCGTAACAGGACAGGTAAAACGAGAGAGAGAAGCCAAAAACAACCTAGCACATGGGATCAACAACAGCCTGGGAAGCCAAAAGTGAGCACCAACCCCCTTAAACCCAGCAGAGAGCTCGGTAACACAGTCTGCTGCTGCTCCTCTCCTCCACAGACGTAAATCATGCTGAAAGATCTTCACGGGGTCAAAACGGAATTGAAAAGCGATTTCGAATACTGTGTTACTAAGCAGTAGCACACCGTTGGAAAATAAAAGGTAATTTATGTCTCAGCACAGGTAGGGAGGCTGCTAAACCAGTCCCAGAGAGCGCTGGGGGAGCACAGAGCAGAACAGAGTTTATTACGGAGATGATTAGCAACTAAGCAGATTTCCTCCGTGTGCGTTTTACAACCTAAACATCATCCAATGCATAAGTTCACCAACTCTAATTTGGCATGTCAACACTGCAGTGTTGTAATATAATAGAGAGAGAGGGTAAATACAGCCTCAAACAACACGGAGGTGAAGGGGGCTACAGGAGAGATGAGGGACTCTGCATCAGGGAGGGGAGCCATAGGATGAGGGGGAACAGTTTTAAACGGAAAGAGGGGAGATTTAGGTTAAATATTAGGAAGAAATTCTTTGGTGTGAGGGTGGTGAGAGCCTGGCCCAGGTTGCCCAGAGAAGCTGTGGCTGCCCCATCCCTGGAGGTGTTCAAGGCCAGGCTGGATGGGGCTTGGAGCAATCTGGTCTGGTGGGAGGTGTCCCTGCCCAGGGCAGGGGGTTGGAACTCCATGATCTTTAAGGTTCCTTCAAACCCAAACCGTTCTATGATTCTATGACTTTTGTCTACCTAATTACAAAGAATTGGATCTTTTAAAGCTATACTGATGTGATCTCAGGAGCTAAACTGTAACTTTTAGATCACACCATATCTAGCTGCCTGTTAGAAGGATTTTAAAATACCGTATCAGAACACAAAAAATGCGCCAGTGGAAACTAGAGGTCCATTCAGCTCCACAGCATCAGTCCAACAGTGGGATCACTCAGGAAAGGAGACAACTCTAGAACTTTCTGGGATTGTTTCCCCTTCTGATTCCATCAGCGTTCATCTGTGAGAGCCTGGCGAACGCAACCGCCACGTGTGAATAACAGGAAACTCTGATTGTTTCAGTTCAAATACAAGGATCATTGTAATACAGAATTAATTTTATTTGTTTGCTAGACCACTGCAGGTCTACCATAAAAGAAAACAAATCTAGTTTGGTTTTTTTTTTTTTTTCATTTTGCCATTGCTCCATTAAGAACACATGAAATATCAGTTTTCAATTAGTACCCTTTATATTATTCCCTGTTTGCCTCACAACCCTTAGTACTTTGGATGCAGAGGGATCTTCTGCTCCGGCAACAGCACAATTTAATATCATTACCCAAGCTCTCTGCAGATCTTGCCAACTTTTTCCCAGAAAAATAGAGAAAAACTAGGACACATAATTCTAATATTTGCTGTAGAGAAAGTGAACATGAGTACAAAGAGGCAAGACAGAAAAAAACCCCAGTAAGTCTGACAGCCCATTGTCAAGCATCAGTGAAAAGCTTGGGCAAACTTTGCTCCCCCTTCATGGATTCCCAAACTGAGACCCAAACAAGGTTCACAAGGATAAAAATAAATAAAACAATATTTTCCTGGACAGTGATTGCCCTCCAGGACAAACACTCAGTGATACTGACTGCCTGGCAAGGAAAGTGAAATTCAGAGCCAGCAGCTTATCAAAACAGCCATTTTCCTTCCCTCCCACTTGGCAAAATATAACAATATCTTATCAGAGCGGGTTTCAGAACTTGGGCTTTTTGAAAACTATGAATTTTTGCCTCTCTTTTTGCTATGAGAGCACAGACACTGGGAAACAACTCAAAATGCAGCATCTTCAGCCTGAAATCATGTTTTCAACCAAGACCAGGCGTTGTCACATCAACTACTCTGGCACAAAGCATAACGTGGAAGGTCTGACAAGGCGAAAGAAAAGTCTAGTGTTCTGTGTACTCTGAGTTAAAACCCTTCTGGAGTTTACCAACTCCTATCTGCACCAGTGGAGAGTCATTTATCACCTCCTATCTCTACCCAGAGATAAAATCCCAAGTGCACAACCTGGGACTGGGTAGGCAGAGAAACGAGACAGGGCATGGAGCCTCAGTACAAGAAGAGACTCCTATTTAACCTACCATGGGGACAGCAGAAAAGGATTCACCACCGATTACTGGTAATGTAATGGACAAGGAAGACATCCTCCTGGATTAGACAACCAAAACGTTCGTTTCTGGATAGGAAATAGGCACTATTCAACTTCCTAGATAACTTGTACTGGCCAATCCTTGAAACTTGTAATTTTTACGATCTCACTCTGCTGGCATGCAGGACATTCTTCAATTTTATGGCCTCCGAACGTACAACCCAATAACAATTCCGACCTTGGCTATTAAAATATCATGCTAAAACGATCAATGGCTGCTGCGGTACTTGAGAGTTCACCGTACACAGATTCCCTGCTTCCAAGCTTTCAAGATGCAAAGGTCGTGGACAACACAGGTGTATACTTATTTCCTAACATTTAGATGTGCTTCCAGCAGTTGTACGTCAGTGTAACTCTTATTAAAATCAATTACTTGATTTTGGTTTATAACCATGTTCTTTCTGGCTCCAAAATTCTACAATAAGATTATTTTTTCAGTAAACATCACTCAGGAACACTAATTAAATGTGCCTTAACTACAAAATGGGAATATGGACAAATAGAAGCTACCAGATTTCGTGCTATAAACTGTTCAGGACACTTATTCTCACTAAGATAATAATTCTTCTATAGTTTTCAAAACAGAGTTTCAGGTATGCTCACTGCTCAACAGCTGCTTACTTTAGATTTGCATCAATACACAACTGATGGACTATGTAACTGCAAGGGAAGGAAGAAGCATCATAAAAAGGTTGAGTTGATATGTCATATCATCATGAACTGAGATGTCTGTCCATATCCAGCCTTTCAGTATCCGAAGGAAGCCTACAGGAGACCTGGGGAGGGACTCTTGATCAGGGAGAGGAGTGATAGGACGAGGGGTAACAGTTTTAAACTGAAAGAGGGGAGATTTAGATTAGATATGAGGAAAAAATTCTTTGCTGTGAGGGTGGTGAGACACTGGAACAGGTTGCCCAGAGAAGCTGTGGCTGCCCCATCCCTGGAGGTGTTCAAGGCCAGGCTGGATGGGGCTTGGAGCAACCTGGTCTGGTGGGAGGTGTCCCTGCACAGGGCAGGGTGGTGGAACTCAGTGATGCTTTAAGGTCCCTTCCAACTCTAACCATTCTACGATTCTATATCATCATGAATTGAGATGTCTGTACATTTCATTTGTAAAAAACCATACGTCTTCAGACACATGACAAATACAATTTAACAGGCCTGCAACAATGTTTTCTTAGGAAAATTTCTGAGACTGCTGAAGACTTCAGCAGCAACATACAGAACAACACTGGACAAAACTGGTTTTCACCACTGGAAATCTTTATTTTTAGCTGATGACTTTTTTTTTTTCCCCAAGAACAAGAAAATCGTATATAATGATTCTAGCTACTTCAGCCTAGGTTTGATGAAATTTCTTTAAACATCTAATTTAATTTAAATAGTGATTCACTGTTTAAAAGTCCCAATGACATTTCCTGCCTTGGTCCACATTTAATACAGCTGAAAGAAACTGAGCACTGTAAGAAGTTCTCCATTGCTATATTTAATATAATGGAGAATCATGCAACTAAAGAAGATAAACCTTTACTCTCAAAGGGTTTATGGGCCCCAGGGATCTCTCCTCTCTTTTTCCTAGAAATAACACCTTTATACTGAAATAGCAGCTGTTCCTTACCTGAAAAGAGTTCATGCATCGAAGTGAAGGTGGCAGAGAGATGGTACTCAAACCCAGTATCAGAAGTAACTCCATACATGTTTCTGATGGAAACTTTAAAGTATGAACTCCAATATCACCTTCCCAAGCATCAGCGAGGCTATAAAGATTAAAAAAAAAAAAAAACCAACACATTTTCATTTTGTCTTAAAACATATCTAAACCTCAAGTTTCAAATAAATATATGAATGTGTCATAGTATTGTGATATTCTTTTCACATTTTCCCTGTAGAAGTCACAGATAAGTGTGTTTTACCAGAAATACAAGGTGCATTTAGAGTACTTTGTCTGTAGCACCAATCTTACAAAAAGATACATAATGTGAAAGGAAAACATAGCATACATTAGAGCAATCTGTTCTCATGCTTCTAATTCAAAGTCAGATTACTTCTGAACCAAATTTCAGCGGCCACTGGCAATTTCCCATCATATAGTGCTTTTACATATAGAGTATTCCACATAGAGCATCATGCCTCCACTTTTTATTTTGTTTCTAGACAGAAAAATGTCCTTTCACTTCTGAAAAGACAGGAGGTCAGACGTGAGTTTCAAAATTGACGTTTATGATGTTCTCACTGGAATCTTACTAACAGTCTATTCCAAGCAAAAATGCCATCCCAGTTCATTTTATACAGCTTTCTGCTTGAGATGTATTAAAAGAATTAAGATTTTTAGAACTAGTCATAAAACCAACATTCTGAAAGCACATTTCTATAAAGCGTTCCCGCTGCCACATGCTGAAGAACAAGATCAGTTTTACAAGATTAACTCAAAAAAAGCAAGAAAGTTCTACTTCCTATTGTTCAGGCTTCTTTCTTCCTTAATGCACAAACCCTCACACCGATCAGTGATCCGATTAGTTTGATAATTTTATCGGAGCAGTTACTATCAGATACTCCAGAGCAAGACAGACACCAATTATCCTCAGCAGATCTGAGAGCATCACTTTGGGAGGCAATGTTTTCCCTTTCCATGTCCAAGACTTCACAATTTCAATAAATAATTAAATAAATAGTTTTAGCATGGGCTTTCACTTTTAAATTCCTCTGGAAATACATTACTCTGACTGAAACCCTGCTTCTGAACACATCACCTTGTTCTAAACTCGTATCTAGAAATAGCCACATTTTTTTAAGCACCTAAAAAAGAGTAGACATCACCCAATATTCAGCATGGAGAAAACTGAGCAAATACTCTTTTTGCAGTATCTGTGTCCTTCTGGATGGTCTCATTCTCTCAAGTCTCCCAACCCCACCAATACTCTGTAAAGTTCTGCTTCTTAGAGGCTTGCATATACACTTCTTGTAGATATGCTTCATTATTAACTCTTCCTAGCACCTTCTTAGCTCTTCTAGATGATGTTCTACTTCGCATAATCTAGACATTTTTCTTCAAAAAGTGTATTTTCACTTTCTTACCTCTATTTGTCTGAAACTGGCCTCTTGAAATTTAACTGTCTGTTTTTTTCTTTCCTAATCTTTACATTTTTTTCCCTCTTTCCTCATTTATCTGTGGGTATGTAAGAACCCACTTGTGCTTCAATACACAAAATATTATGGGGGGAGACCCATAATGTACACAAGCTCAGAGGGGCTTCCGTTTCCCTAGAAAAAGCAAATACCTTGTCTATATTGAAAGGAAGCAGGATTCTTTTTAAAAAGACTATGTGAGTAGCCAACCCTGACTGGCCCAGAGATCCTGTAGATGCTCCAGGAGGAGCACCTTGCTCTAGATGATGAGCACTGAGCAGCCAGCAACCAAGGAGTCTCGTTAATTGCAATTCAGAATTGAGTTTTATATTTCATTATTATTTGGTAACTTCATTTCCACCCATAACTGGAAACTTACCTTTATATGTTCTTTACTGGGTCTTTGTTTGACATTTTTTACAGTCTTGTCTGGTGACAACAGGCAAATTTAGGTGAAACCAGCAAAATCAGGCCCTTCAATTTTTCAGAAATCAGCAAGTCTAAACAAAGCACTGTGCAGGCACCTTCGAATAGAGCCAGAGTTTGGAGTCTGGAGGTGATATGAGAAGGTTCTGGGTGTTGGGGAGGTGTTTCCACAGATCAACACCCTCTCAGCAAATAAACTTCTCAGAACTCCAAGCAATGTTCAGATCATCACAACTTCCTTCAGTACCTTGATTCTATTCTTGCGGTTTGACTTGAGGATTTTTTGGAGCTGCCTCTTCATTTTGAAGTCCATCTCTTACAGCCCTGACACTGCACTAGGGTGGGGTTTTTTTTGTGGCTGTTGGTTTATTTCAGAGAAAGACTGTTTGCATAAAGACATGTAACCTAATTATATTGCAATTCTTGTTTATTAATGGCTCGGTAATTAGTATTTCCTGAAACAATTCCAGTGTTTTCCTTTAGTACAAACAAACCACGTGTGTCCTAGCACTTACTGCCCCAGGAACACTCATGTTAGGAATTAAATCTTTATGGCTTGCCTTTTTTCAGCATTTAACACAAGCGTTTGTGGGAAGTCACTGCTTTATTAGATCATGTCTCTTTTCTTTTTTAACCCTGTTACTCTTGGGAGTATTTTTCCATAATCTTCATTGTAAAGGAGGGAGAAAAACATCTATACTTAAAGCAAAACCTCCGAATTTTCACCTTATTTTCACAGAACCTTTCTGTGTAAAGAGAGTTGTCTCATGGACAGTACAGGAGAGGAGATTGTTTCTCCTTACTGGAGGAGGCAGATTGGTTGACAGTGCTCCTCAGGAGAGGACACCCACGGAGAAGAACCCAGCCCATCAGCTCCATGCTTCCTCCCAGACGAGTCCCAAATACCAACAGTCTGAGCTGGCTGAGAGCTTCTCAGCCACCTCACCACCAAACTGTGTTTTGCCCTCCTGAGCTTGAAAGAACAATTCAATTTGACATGCAGATAGGGTAAATTGTCAGATGGTGTTTTGGGGAGGGCTGAGGAAGACGACGGGAAAGAAACCAGTAGGACTCAGATGTGCCCACGGTAATTTTGGATGTGGACAGGACTTTGCATGTGCTCTTTTCCCTTGCTCCTTAATACCTTTACCCAGCAATGAGTTCTTGCTCCTAAGCTTCCCTCAGGGAAAGCAGGACAGGCCAAGGCTGCTCCTCGTGCACATAAAGGCAAGAGCCAGCAGAATTCCCAGAGAGCACAGCACAGTTTGCTGCGCTGGCTGAAAGGAATAAGTAAATAAGGAATAAGTAAAACAGATTAGCTGGAGGAAGGTGAGGTTATCAAGAGAAATAATGCAGTTTTACATTCTTCCTTCTGCAAACATTCAAATTTTCTACGTTGCAAAGCAGCCTTGAGACTCCAGACTTCCCAGTCTGACAAAAAAAAACAATTATGACCCTCGGTATCAAATAAAATTCATAAATTCTACACAGATTCCCTAACTCATCGCAGGGGAAAAGACTGCACCTACCTTGGACTGACTTTATGACAGGTAAAATCTCACCACCACATATTGACCTTGACAGTGTTTGAGGGAGATGTGAGTCAGCTGTAGAAACCAGGCTTTAAAACAGTAGGATGTAGTAAAACACTCAGTAAAATGGTCCAAAGTAGGAGCACGCTCTGAGTTTAAGAAAAGGACATGTCAGACTGAATCTTTTCCACAGGACATTAAATCCACCTCTGCAAATTATCATCATCCAGTTTTGCCTGCCAGTGATCTCACCAACAGGGAAACCCAAATCATTCTAAGCATCCTGTCTGTCACTCCATCCTTCCCATTTTCCCCCTCTTTTGTTTATCCCTTCCTTCCCCTGCTTTTTTCAACCAAATTCTCTTAAGAAAGATCTCAAATACATTAGGTTTGGAGAAGTTAAATATTTTCCTGAAAATCAGCGTCTGAGTAGTGAGGAAAAATCCACATTAGTTGCTCCACAGTAACTAATGAGCAAAACTTGAAAACAGCTACTCAGAGAAGACTAAAGATAAGACAATTACTTCTCCAGCAGAAGTAACTGATCACAATGTTTTCAGATAAGCACATTTGATTCACCGTGCATCCGAGACCGGTGTTTCTCCACTGCTCATTACAGAATTGATCCCAGTGAATTGCTAAAATGCCTACTTAAGTCAGAGTAACATTTGAAAATTGTGTCCTAAGAAGCAAGGTTTAAGACACCAAAATCATGAAATGCATTCATTTCATAATTCCTTGCTGTAAGTACTAGCAAACAAAGAGCCATCCATCAGGTTGTGGAACCCACCCATAACATCCTAAGTCTTCACGAAAAAGACCATATTCATGGCATGTCAGTGAAGCAAGAGAAATCTTTGTGTTTCAAAACCAGGAAACAATGATAAGGATTCTCTTGAGATTTTGAAAAACTGGACCAGACTTCTCCCTGGATTGCATTTCTTGCCAAAGAAGCCTCTTCCATCAATGTCAAGGTCATTTATCAGTATTAGTCACACTCCATCGTGCATGACATTCACTTCAAAATCATAGAATGGTCTGGGTTGGAAAGGACCCCTCCATTGTGCATGACATTCACTTCAAAATCACAGAATGGTTTGGGTTGGAAGGGACCTTAAAGATCATCCAGTCCCAACCCCCTGCCCTGGGCAGGGACACCTCCCACCAGACCAGGTTGCTCCAAGCCCCATCCAGCCTGGCCTTGAACCCCTCCAGGGATGGGGCAGCCACAGCTTCTCTGGGCAACCTCTTCCAGTGTCTCACCACCCTCACAGCAAAGAATTTCTTCCTGAGATCTCATCTAAATCTCCCCTCTTTCAGTTTAAAACCATTCCCCCTCATTCTATGGCTCCACTCACTGATCAAGAGTCCCTCCCCATCTCTCCTGTAGGCCCTTTAGGGTCTGGAAGGGGCTCTAAGGTCTCCCCAGAACCTTCTCTTCTCCAGGCTGAACAACCCCAGCTCTCTCAGCCTGTCTTCTAGCATCTTCATGGCCTCCCCTGGACTCCCTCCAACAGCTCCAGAAAATGCAACTGTTTCAGGAACAGACAAAATCTTGGGCTCCCTCCAACAGCTCCAAAAAATGCAACTGTTTCAGGAACAGACAAAATAAATCCACTTTTGGAAAGAAACCCGTAAGCTTTTGTTGGTTTTTTTTTCCTTTCCAGAGCACC